GCACAGACTTGGCGCTTACCGACTTCTTGGGGAAAAGAGGATTTTTTCAAGATTTTTGAGGCCCCGGCCTGGGCCAAAAATTTAAACTCTTGGAAGGAGCGAATCCCCTATTCTTTGCGTCCCATACTAGGTGAACAAAAAACAAAAAAACACCCCCACAGGATGTGATGGGCAGGTCCAAGAGGCTCAGGCTTGACAGAGAAACAAATCTCAGGTTGATACCAAAACATAGCTCAGTTCCAAGGACACATTTACCCTGGCTCTGCTCAGGCTTGGTGTTTGCTTCCTGCAGATCTCGTAGCCCCAAGAGCAAAAGAAAAGAAAAGAACAAAGAGAGGAAAAGGTGAGCACCCTCTCTCCCACCGTTTCTCTTCCTCCTCGCCCCCGGCAAACCTAGCCTTCTAGCATCCCAGAATCAGGCACTTAAGAGACAGCTCTCTAACCCAACATGGTGGTGCACACCTCTAATCCCAGCACTCAGGAGGCTGAGGTAGGAGAATTGTGAGTTCCAATAAGACCCTGTCCCATAAAAACAAAAGACACCTTGCTCATTGTGTACAAAGAGAAAAATTAAGATCTGGAGAGGAAGCCAAAGCTATCTGTGAGCCAGTGGCAGAGCTGGAACTAGAACCTGGGCTCCTTGACAAACAGCCCGGAGTGCTTTCTAGCTGGGTCCCTGTGACTCCCATGCCTTCCTCTACCTTCCCCCCACCCCTGACCAGTCACAAGAGAACCAGGTGAGAGATGAGGCCTTTAGAAGTAGAAAAAGAGCCTTTTCCTAGCCCTTCCAGATGAGCAGTGGTACTGCTAAAGGCAGACCAGCTTCACTCAGGTGACTGTTGTAGGGACCATGGTGGGGGTGAAGGTCCCTGTGGGTAGGTCAGGCAACCCCCAGGCCAAGGTGGGCAGAGCTTATGTTCAGGCTGATTCCCCTCCCCCACCCCAGGCCTCACGCACAGTCCCCAGGCCGGAAGTCCCACCGCCACAGCAGCCGCAGTTCCCACAGCCCCTCGCTGTCCTCCCACTACAGTGACTCGGGATCACCCAGCAGGTAGGCTGGGCCCTGAAAGGGCTCAGGTGCGCTCCAGCTCCGCTTTTTCTTTGGGGGTGGGGGTGGGACAAGCAACGAGCACCCCAAGGGCTGGTGGGGAAATGTCAGTTCATCGGTGGGTAGAAACTTCCCAAGACCCTGCCAAGACCCCCGATCCTAAATTGCAAGTGGAGGCAGTACAGGGCTGGCTCGCTGGGGTTGCGTGCTACGTGAAAGGGGGATGCGGGGCTGCTCCTGCGGGGATCTGGGGAGCAGCCAGCTGCAGAGGAGGCGTCCTACGCCGGCTCCCCCATTCCTCCGCCCCCTCCCGCAGGCTGAGCCCCAAGCATCGGGACGACGGGCGGAAGACGGGCAGCCAGCGGTCCAGCGGGAGCCGGTCGCCTTCCCCGTCGGGCGGCAGCGGATGGGGGTCACCCCAGCAGAACGGCGGCAGCAGGCAGCGAAGCGGAGCACACGGGGGCCGCTCGGGCTCGGCGCACAGCCCGGCCGATGTACGTACGCTCGGCTTTGCCGAGGGTTTCCGCGCCGAGCGAGGGGGCGGGGCGATCGCCGGGGGCGGGGCCTCGCTGCGTCACGGGGCGGGGCTGCTTCCTCCCTCCCAGCCAAGTGCCACGCGGGGGGCGTCAGGCGCAGGAGTTGCCAGCCGGGCTCGGTTGCTACGCCCCCTGGGCCTCGTGGCTTGGGGCCCCCCCCACTCGTGCTTGGCAAAGCGAAGGCCAGGGTGACCACGGGGCGCTCAGATGGTGCACAGCTGGGGAGGAACCAAGACCTCCCAACTGCCCCAGAGATAATGGAGGGAGAGGGCGTGGACACTGGTAGGGGTCGAAGACAGGAACTGGAGGCAAGAGCGTTCTCTTGGGCGTCATGAGCCTCCTTTTCCCCATCGAGCCCTTGCCCCTTCTCTGAGCCCTTTCCTCCCCCACTTCCTTACCCCTCCCTCTCTCTAGGATCCTACCCTATCTCAGACCCCTGCTGACACTAGCTGTCTCCCCAGAGAATCTGCCCTTTCTCTGCCCACACTTGGACAGGTGTCTCAAACCTCGGCTCCACTTTTCCTGCCAGCATCCCCCACTCCTGGGCAGGGACTTCATACCGACACCGCCCCAAAAACTGTCACTACCCTTGCCCCAGGAGGGACACACTCACCTCGGGACCTGCAGGCAGGATGTCAGGAGCTGGCAGAGGAAACGGGTTTCTCAGTCTTTCCCTGTGCGGAGAGACTAGGACCAGTTGGGGGTTCCAGACCCCTTTTTGTCTCAGAGAGAGGGGGCTGCAGTGCTGGCCGGGGCACTGAGTTGGGCTCCAGAACTTAGAGGGAGGCCTGCAGGTTCTTCTTCAGACCTGCAGACTCCCCAGAAGCCTCAGCCAGGAGGGGGAGAGCTGCCCCTCCCAGGACCTCAGGTCTCAGCAGCAGAACGTGTACGTGTTGGTCAGTTTCATTTTGATTTTTGGCTGTTTCCTTTACTCCCTTTCTTTTCTCAAAATAACCCTTATTCCCACAGCCTCAGAGAGGAAAGTCAGGGGCAACTGGCAAGAGACTCTTGGTCTCAAGGTTTTTATGGAAGGACATTATATCTCCAGACTGTCTCAGCTGGAAAGAGTGCCAGGCTCCTTGGCTAGCTCTGAGGACTGTGGTTGGGCCACCTGGGGAGGATCACACTGATACCCTTAAATCTGTCTTGGGAGTGAGAGAGGACATGGAGAGGTAGCCAATGGCAGCTGTGGCAGGAATTGATCCCCAGGCCCTGGTGGTGATGGGAAAACCCAGAAGAGCAAATGACCACCCTCTACCTGGCTGAGAATAGAGCCCTAAGGGCACAGCACCCCAGACAGCATCTCCTGAGTATCAAATCCTCCTGGGGCCTCCCAAGAGACACAAACACAGGTTCTCTCAAGCCAGGGCTAAATGTAGGTCCTTTCTTATTTTTGGTTCCTTCCCTGGTCGTGGAGGTCTGAGCAACTTCTTCACCCCACCCCTGCAAGGATCCTATGCATGTGCAGACAAAATGGCAAAAGTAACTAGATAGACTGATAGACGTCTGAGAAGCAGATGTGGAGAAGGACCTAGCCATCAGCTTAGGAAAGGGAGTCTCAGTAGCACCTATATTATGTCTCCCTCCCAAAACGGGACTTCATTTTGACATGGCCCTGGGAGTGTTCAGGAAACAGCTCTGATATAACTGTCACAAAGCATGGCTCCAAATTCTATCCCTAACCCTTTACCCCTGGGACCTTCAGCTTCCCAGGTCTCTAACCTGCACTCAGATCCCCTCTTTGCCTGAAAAGACTTTTGAAGGAGTTAAATGAGGCCCATTCTCTTGTATCCAGACAGGTGAGATGTGGAATCAGGGTGTCACAACTTGGCCATTAGCAAAAAAAAAGTTTTTGGGCAAAAGTACTGGGGGTGGATTCTTGGACACTACCTTTAAAAGAAAAAAAAAAAAAAAGAGAGAGAGAAACAAATGAAAAAAAAAAAAAAAAAGCTCAACTCTTTTTAACCCCGACTATGTTTTCGTTTGCTTTTTAGCCTGGCATTTGAAACGTGGTAATACTGTAATTCCGTTTCTTGTTTAGCTGGCAAGGGAAGAGGCTGGGGATGTTTATGTAATTTTTCCTATTATTTTGTTTTTGTTTGTATTTCTTTTCCTTATTTTTTTCCCTTTTATAATGTACAGAAATGCAAGCTATCTCTCTGGTTTTGTTTTGTTTTTTTTTCTTCTATATCTTCTCTGTTGTAGAATTTTGATTTTGTGTGTGCTACTGTGGGAAGCTTTCAAGTGAACATGTAATCATACACACATCTCTCTATACTTAGTTTTTGTCCTTTGTAATCAGAATTTAAAAGGGAAGAAAACTCTAAAATGACATCCACACCAGCAACTCCTGCTAAGTCACTAGCAGCAACCAGTCCTCTCCTCAAACCTGAGGTACATACTACAACTGTCTTGACTTTCAAATTAACAAAATTGTTGCTTCTCAGTCTATATAGAAACTTGCAAGCAGCTGGGTGCCATGGTACACGCCTGTAATCCTAGCTACTCAGGAGGCAGAGATCTCCTGGATCTCAGTTCAAAGCCAACCCTGGGCAAATAGTTTGAGAGACCCTATCTGGAAAATACTCATCACAAAAAAAAGAGGCTGGCAGAGTGGCTCAAGGTGAAGGCCCTGAGTTCAAGCCCCGGTACTGCAAAAAAAAAAAAGAAAAAAGAAAGAAAAGTAAAAGAAATTTGCAAGCAGTTGGGAAATCTAGGGAGGGGAAGATTCTTGTCCTAGCTCACCCAGACAGCTTCTTGGATATCACTGTGACTTCTCAATTCAGTTTAGTACAACATAGCTGAGCATAATGGGGAGAGAGATAGGGCAGCCTGCTCAGCCTCCTCAGTGTCACTGTGACCAGCAAAGTTGCACAGCTTTTTAGAGGTAGATGAAAAGTAGACTCCAGTCTCTGACCTCAAGACCCTCCATAGAGGGGTGGTAAATGGAGAAAACTCATTCCAAGAGAACAAGGATTTAGGAAAAGGAAAAGGCTTCTCTCATCAGCTCCTGCCTTCCCCCTGGAGACCCTCCAGATGTCCCTGAAATGTTTTAAGCTCTCTCAACTCCCTGAGACTAGGGCCTGCCCACACTGAGAGACCAGGGTACAGGTGGATCCCATGCTACCATGTGATCAGTGCTTCAGTGACAGCCCTGTGGGGGAAAGAAACACACAAAATCTTGCAAAATTCTAGAACACAGAAGATAGAGACAAAAAAAAAAAAAAATCCAAGCAGGGAAACAAATAATGAAGCACAGAGAGAGAAATCCCTGAAGATCTGAGCTACTTCCCCACCCCACCCTTGCAAGAGTCCTACACATGTGCAGACATAATGGCAAAAGTAACTAGATAGACTGCTAATGAGCAAACAGCTGGCCTCCTGTCTCCCAGGGGAGAACCTCACAGCCACTTGTGTGGATGGGCCAGTAACATACTGAGTAGGGACCTCATGAGATAAGTCCTTTTAACCAGTATCACTTGTAACCTTTGCTGGCCTCCCTCCAAGCCCCCACAAGCACGAGCTAGTGCTAGCCTTGTCCTCCTGAAGCCACAAAGGGTGTGCAGTTTGCCTCTCTTAAAAATGGGGCCACCTGCCTTAGCTCCACCTGTTTCTGGCATTAGGAAGGTCAGAGTGGCTCAGTGGTAGAATCCTTGGTGAGAGTGCCAGAAACTTGTGAGCAAAGCCCCTAGGCTTTCTCTGGCCCAAATTCCATCATATAATGGACAGCCTAGGGTAACCCTAGGGGACCAGGGTCTTTCCCACAGAGTGGGGGACAGAACCAGGCTTAAGTCCTGAGACTTGTAGCTCACAGCTCAGAGCTCATCCAGCCACACTAAGGAGGCAGTCAGAGGTACACCCTGGGGACACCACCTTCTCTGCCTCTTCAACTGTTTCCTGTCCCACTCAAAGCAGCTACACAAGTGTAACATCCCTGGCCTGCCCCAGGAAGAAGCAGTGACCATGGCTGCAGCAGTAGAGTCAGAACAGGATGGACAGCTTGACATTTTCTCTAGGATGCTTCTAAGGCAAAACCAGAATGCAAGAAGGATGAATCTTGCTAAAATGATATGGAAGGACTGGAGGTGTGGCCTAAGTGGTAGAGTGCCTGCTTTGCAAGCATGAAGCCCTGAGTTCAAACCCCAGTACTGCCCAAAATAAATAAACAAAAATAAATAAAATGATACAAGAAGTCATGAGGCTGATCTGAGCAGGATTTGCCAGTCAAATTGAACATGTGGTTGCCTTCCCTTTTAAATGCACGGTCCCCCCCCTTCCACACACCCCATCTGTCCACTCTCACTGGCTTTGTTTAAACAGCTTTTGTCTCTTTTCTCTGGGTCCACCTGTCTTCCTGCCTCTCTGTGTCTGTTTCCTTTTGTTATAGTTTCTGTTTTTCTATTTCCTCACTCTTTCTCTCTGTGTCTTGGTCTTTGTCTCTCTGTGTGTCTGTCTGTGTCTCTGTCTGTCTTTCCCCCTTCCATCTCTTTTCCCCTTAAATGGGCTTCTCTCCCATGCTGCCAGCCCCTCTTTTTGCTACCCTGTGGTTGCCTCCCATCAGCTGCTTCTTGCATGCCCTCTGGAGGGTTTCTGTTATGTAAAGAATTAAAGAAAGCTTCGCTATTTGGAGCCTGTGGTTTATCAAATAAAAATTAAAAAGCAAGCAGAAATGGCTGGGCAGGAGCCCCCTCCCATCCCTGGGGGCGAGACTGGGGACTCCACACTGCACGCTGGCTGCCCAATTCCTGGTGCAGAGGGGGAGTGCAGCTTAGAGATAGTCTTTGCCTCACCCTGCATTCCCAATGTGGAGACCTTCTTTTCTTTTTTATTATTGCATTCCTGTCCCTGACCACTGAGAAGGTAGGTATCCCAACTCCGCTGTGCGCTCCCTGGCTCCCATCTCAGAAAAGCCACTCTGCTTGGTTTGAATGTGATTTTCTTTCTCTCTCTCTCTCAAA